TTACATATACAAAAAATTTAAATAAGCAAAACTTATTTAGTATAGAACCTGTATAGTAATTTATAAGCAAACTACTTAAATTAGATACCAAAAATGTACATATGTCTAGTTGTAACCTTTAATATAAAAAAGTTTCTAAAAACATTCATACTTGATAAAAACTTGAATACAAATTACTTTTCAAAGATAGAGATTTTAACTTAAAAAAAAATAAAAATTTAATATATTTAATTAGTTTTTTTTAATAAAAATTAAAATAAAATGGATTTTTTAAACTCTTTTTTGTAGATTCTTTGACTAAAAACTGTTAAAAAGCAAAACACAAAAAAACTGCAAAACCTACTAGGAAACATTATTTAGGCCCTTAACAAAAAAGAAAGAGCAGCAAAAGTTACATTTAGTTAGAAAACAAAAACACAAGTAGAAAAGCTTAGAAGTAGCATAGTTTAAAAAGATTTAAAAACTTTAACAAAAACAAAATTTTTTTGAAAAATCTTGGAGAATTTCTGTAACCCTGTTGTAAAGATCAATTTAGATTATACAAGAAGTACACAAAATAAGTAAAGTAAACAAACAAATATGTATAGCAGAATAGTTTACTAGAATAAGCATGTGACATAGCAACAACCAAACTAAAGAGCCAATAGACGAAATATACAATAAAGATATTATAGAGCATATTAAAGATATAGGAGACAGAAATTACAGATATGTTGACTGCAAGATATTAGATCAAGTTCTTAAAACACCAACAAAAGGCCCAAGCAACATAGAGCACATTGCAAAGGATTTAGCAATTTATGACCCAAAACATATTACACTACAAGATTTGCTAGTTTATGGCCAAGTATTAGAAGCCTTGAGAATAGCAAAAATAAGTAGGTTTAAAAAAGAAATAATTGACAAGTAAGCAGAAAAGTTAAAGTCAATAAGCTACAACTCAAGCTTATTTGAATATGACACAAACATAGAAAGAAAAAAAGTTTATCAAAAAGAAAGCAAAAGAAATAAGATAAGTATATTAGTAGAATCTAATGAAACAAGAAAATTTACCAACAAAAAGCAGAACCAAGAAAAAAAAAACAATTTTGAAGAATTAGAACAGGGATTAGAAACACTAAAAGAGCAAATAAAAAGGCTTAGCATTGTTATATCATGATACCAAACAAGTCAAGTCATAAATAATTTAGAATGTAAAAAAGAAATATCAACAAAAAGCAAAAAGACAAATCTAGAAACCATGGATATAGAAATAACAGAACAAGAAAAAGAAATGAACAGTAAAGAAGATGAGACAATGTTTCTCACAAGGTCAATTGAACATAGTTGATAGTTTCCAGATAATCAAATATATAATAAAAATAGGTTCTTTAAAGCAAATATGCTGATATATGCCTTGCTAGGTGAAACAAAAGAAGAAAGAATAAAGTATGTTTAGTGGATTTTAGAAAAAAATTATTATATTAAAACAGTTAAAGAAGTATTTAAAAATAGAAATAATTAGATAGAAGTAGATTTTGACTGTGAACATAGCAGAGATACAGCAATAGACAGAATTAAGAAAAAAGAAGAAGAATGACTAAAACTCATATCAGAAAAATCCAAAAACAAAACTTAAAATATAGAACAGCAAGAGGAGCATAACACTAAGAGAAGAAAAGAAGAAAGTACAAGACAAATAGAAACAAAAAAGGACAATAAAACAGAAGAGTCAAATATTAAAAACAGAGAAAGAAAAGAAGAAGAATACAAAAACACAAGCCAAGCAAAAACAAAAGTTAAGAATACAAAAGCACTTGAACAGAAGAGGTTTTGAAGACAGAAAACTATCTAATGATCTGGAATCTACTAGCAAATATCAATATAGAAGAAGTAGAATACATGTGCAGAAACTAGAGATATTATCCAGATTAGGTGACCCATATGGATCACCTAACCTGATGGATTATAGGTCAGATTTTGACCTAACCCAGGTCAAACAGGTTATAATTAAAAATAAATTAAAACTGTAAAAATACTTGCAGATAATGTACAATAATACTAATGCTTTTATAATTTCTAAAACACATTTTAGCTGATTTGATTAAGATTGTAATTTTAGCATAATAGATTTTATAATAAATATTTTACTGTACATATATAACTTAAGATCAAATAACTAATATAAATACTACATATGCATATCAAAGTATAATGGCTAGCAAATAATTGAAAAAAATTTTTTAGAAAACTTATCAATTCGAAATTGCTTAACATTTAGACATTATAACATATTTTTAATAAATATTAATTAAATGTTTTTTTTTTTTTTGAAATCTCAAGTTATCAGTTGACAGATTCTTGATCATATCTAATTTATTTAGTATTATCACCTATTCATGTAAAATGCTTATTATAAAAATTTGGTTTATATCTGGAGCCTTCTTTATATGATTTATTAGTTGGCAAAATTAGTCTTTTCCATAAATTTTCATACTATACAAACAAACATACCAAACATATTAAAATATAATATAATGATCATGCCAAAATCAATAACTTAATCAAATTGGCCGAAAAATCATTCAATCAATTTTTATCAGGCGTTCCAGAAATTATGAAAGTAATACAGTATTTTTATTTAACATGTTGTATATACATACAAATAAATATTCAAAATTCGACTAATCACACTAATTTATTTCTTTTTATTTCTTTACACAACAATAGTACATAGTCAATTTTTTCTCTAAATAATATATAAATATTCAAGAAAACTACATGCCAATTCTAATGGATTCTTTAAATCTTCAAATGATGTTTTATATTTGTCCATTATACAGTAAGGTTCTCTAATTTTTGCACCAGTTAGTTATATTTTTATGAAATGTTTTTCACAAAATTTAAATAATTTATTTTAATCTACAAGCACTTTATTATATATATTCTGAGTGTTAAGCATATCTACTGTACTAACAATTAATTTCAGAATCATCCACTTAATAATAGTTTGTTAATTTATTAAATTCAATTATTCAAAACTATTTAAGTATAAAAATTTTTTATCTAGTTAAAAACATATGAAACAGATCAAAGTTTTAGAGCCACCTTAAGGATTAAAATTGATTCAACAAATTAAGGATCAAGTTTTGTTCTTTTTTTAGTAATAGTGAGACCTGCAGATAAAAAAAGGCATTTAGATGGTACCGATGTAGCTGGAATAAATAAATACTTGCGAGCAAGTTTAGCAAGTATAAAATAATCAGCTTTCCTTGAGGCCCAACATTGGAGTATATCTGTTTCATTTAAAACCCTTGGTAATAGTAAATATAAATTAAACTCATAGTTAGTAATATTATCATCATTATTTTGTTTACTTAAACATTCTTGCAAGTAAGTAACTAAGAGATCAAAAAAAATATTATTATCAGCATTCATTATATCACTAGGTACTATATCTGACATATCATTTTTTTATAATAGTTAGTAGCTAATTCAAGGTATTCTATATATGCTTCCGAAATTGTACAATTCTTCTCTTTTTTGGTAAAGATTTGCAGATCTTTGTTCATGGATCAAGAAAAGCAGTAAGTTGAATTGGTTTTGATGGTTCTAAAAATCGATTCTGAATTGATTCATGAAGAAGAGTTCTAAATTTTTGGACATCAACATTATTTATTACTGCACAATCAAGTTTTACTTTAATAAAATTAATCACAAATCATGCTTAAGAAAGTGTTGAATACTGTGAACCTGATAGTTTTTTTGAAACTACTTTATAAGAATACAATAATTTAACTAATTCAACTACTTTTTTCTATTCATCAGATAACAATTCTTTTTCTTCATAACTTCGCAGTATACTGTTTTTATTACCTTCAACTAAAAATGATTTATACTTATACATTACAGGTTTAAGAATCATTAGCTATTTTAAAAGATAGAACATCAAATTTCATCTTGTTAAAACATTATGAACTACAAAAAGAAATTTATTCCAATCTTCCATTTCCATTTGACTCCTAAAAAAAATTATTTTTGTTTTGGACTTTCACTAAAGTGTAATACTAAATCTTTATATTTTTTTATTAAATTTGTAATTTTCAAACATCCTTTCAAAGCATTATTAACTGCAAATTGTAAGATATGTCCAAAACAAAAATTTTAAAAATATTATATTTTCATCCTAACCTTTTTAAACATGATTTAACATTGGACCTATTATTGACTATACCATTAACAGTTATACATTTAAGTTAAAGATTATCCAAAATTTCAACAATTTTATTAAAAAAACATTTGGATGTGTGAGAATATAGAAGATATAAAATGTTACCAGTTATTTCTTTCATTTAAAAACTATTATTAATCTAATGAAAAGTAAGTTTAATATATAAATCACTGTTATCTGATATCCACATATCAGTCATAAATAAAACATGACTAATTTCGGTACTATCAAGTGCATATTTGTGAATATTTTGTAAAATCTAATTTTTAGAATTAATAAGAATTTCTTTTAAACAATCATTACTAAGTACATTAGCTTGGGCATCGAGTTCTTCAATGATTCTTTTAAGTGTCTGTGATTGAATAATTAAAAATGGTTGAAGTTCTTCAACAATAAAAGCTAATATATTATTATCAAGTTTTTTTTGTTTGGGGTTATTGAATGTATATTTTTTTGTTTTGTTAAATGCTTGTATTATTGTTGTTTAAAAGAATACTGGAATTACACAAAATTTACAACTATTATCCTTTACTATGACCTTTACTTGATCATCTTCTACTATAGCTTATGATATATGATATTTATTTCTCAAGTATTATTATAAATTAAAGGTAGAACTATCTTTTAAATATTTTATTTGAGGAGTACAAGTTTTATGATGACAAACCCAAAATTCTAAAATTTTAATTAATGTAATTTTATAAAACACTCTAACAGGACTACTACTCAGCCTTTCAATCTTTTTTCATTTGACTAAAGAGTGATTGTCAGTTTGTGATAATGTAGGAGACTAAGGTGAATTTTCATTAACTAAAGGTTGAATGCTAGTTTGTGATAATGTAAGAGACTGAGGTAAATCTTTATTAAAATCTATATCATTAGATTCTGACTCATCTAAATTAACATCATTATTCTCTAAAACCATATCATCTATATATTCATCACTCATTATTTCTGCTTAATAATTCAAAATCTTAATCATTGTTTTTAATGAATTAAATATACTTCAGATGCTATAACAATTTAATATAATTATCCAGATTTTATATAAATACATATATACTCAATCATGCTTACAAGGTCCAGAGAACTACATATATTTTTTTTTTTCTCTTTTTTTTTTTTATCCTAATTATAAGCTAATGAATATTGTTAATTACCTTTCTTGAATGATGAATTACACTTATAAACTAAAGAATGAAAACATTTTTCATATAATACTTATTAATATACAATTTCATTTGCTTTGAGTTGAAAGTAGATTTGTAAGATTGTTCTTTTTTTTTTTTTTTTTAATAAAATGGTTTTAACTTGCAATCTTTAATAGATACACTTCTGCTTTTTTATAATATTATGAGTGCTAAAACACTACAATCTATAAATATTTGACAGTAAAATTTGGGTATTAGAAACAATAAAAGTTTACTAATTTGATTTTTATATGCATACATATAGCTAAAGACCTTAGCCCAAATATGAAGTATTTGCCTTTATCATTATTTTCTTTTATGCCAATTCAATGATAATACAAGAATTCTTAGAACATTGTTAGCCTTAGCTGATTTAGCAAATACATATATTGATATGCTTTATGCTTATCTAATTCGATCCTATTTCATAAATAACAAAGTGGTTTTAACTATTTAAGTATGTAGATATTGCACTAAATTCTAAATTAGATATATGCTACTAAACAATATTATGATAACAACACCCTTAAATTTTTTATAATTGTTTTCAAATTAGTCTAAAATTAAATTCTGAGAATTCTATAAACCTACATATTACTATTGTTTTCACAATGGAATCAGAATTCTTAATATTCAATTATTACACTAATTTGAAAGATCTGATAACAAAAAAAAACTTGGTATGTTTGTAAATGTTCTAAAATTGATCATTACTAGTATGATAAGGGATTTTGTGAATCCTATGAATCTATTGTTAAAACAATAATAAATAAGAATTTATAGAATTTACAAAATCCACTTATCACACTAATTCAAAAACAGCAATAATTTTGAATTTATTAAATATTTGACAATGCAAAGTTTAAACTTTCTTAATATCTTACTATGTATAAAAATAAAATTTTAGAATACTGATTTTTAAGAATAAATCTTGTTATACTAATTACAATATTACACCAACTTATAAGAAACTTAGATGATCTGTTAATCTGGATCACAACTCAGGTCAGGATTTAACCCACTCAGATCATGGTTTTCTGACCCAGGTAAGACTTCTAGCAGAAACATCAAAGATGCCAAAATAGAATGAATCAAGAGATCCAAATACAAAGCTCTAGCAATAATATATATGAAGAATTTAAGAGAAAAAAATATTCTATGGGTCTTGCCAATTGGCACACACAAACTAGCAAGAGTGTCTAAAGGCAATAAAGATTACAGTTTATGAGACTAATACAGTTTATATATATCAAAGTTACTAGAGCTTCCAAAAAATGCATTTGAAGTGTTGCTACTACAATGATTAAGAAAAAGAAGAGCTAAGTTAGTGTATATACCAACAAACTGAAATAAGAATCAGAGAAGATCTGCAATAATTACTTTTGTATCAGAAAAAGAGATGAGAACAGCACAAACTAAGCCAATAAGGTTTAACAATCACTTGCTATTTTGGTAAGACGAAACAAAGAAAAGGAAACAAATAAAGAAGAAGAAGATTATTATAAGAAGTGCATAATTATACATGATATAGACATAGACTTAGATACAGAAGTGTATAAAAACAAGAGTAATAGGAGAAAAGAAAATACAGAAGAGTTTAACGAAAATAAAAAGAAGCATCACATATATGCAACAAAAAAAGAAGATTTACAAACATGTAGCTAAGACCTTTTGAAAAAAATTCTCAAGAGACTAGAGAGACTTGAAGCACAACAAAACAAAGCAAAATAAAAGATAAAAGAAGACTTTATTAACTGCTCTTAACAGTGTTATAGTTGAATTAATGAGCATAGACCAGAAAATTGGAGAGTTTCTGCATAGTGAAAGAAGAATTTTCGAAGAAAGAAATGTAGATGCATCTCTTGACTATAATGAAAAAACAAGGAAAAAAGAAAAAGAAAAGATGGAGAACATGAAAACAAAGCATAAACACCTGAAAGAAAAATGAAAACAAGAAAAGAAAAAAATAAAAATTGCATGTCACAACATTAATAGACTTAAAACAAGATAATAAAAAGTAAACACCTTCTTGAATAAGCAGAAAAAGAAGAACTTTCAATAGTTAGAATTATGGAAATGAACATTACAGAAAAAGAGAAAAAATTTTTATTGTATAGTTATAATACACAGTATAAAAGATATTGGACTAGTGTAATAATAGACAAGAAAAAAGGTTCAAGCATAGGAATTCTAATAGATAAAAAGTAGGAAAAGCATATAAGAGTAGTTAAAAGAGTTAGTGAATACATGCTAGAGGTAAGATTATATTTTAAACAATTAGAATTAGTAGTACTAGGAGTATACATTCTACCAAATGACAAGTCAATTAGTAAGAAAATTCAGCAAAGAATTGTAGAAGTAGTAACAAACAGAAAAAGATATATAGAAGTAATTATACTAGGTGATTTCAATCATATAGTAGATAATATACTAGATAAACAGCATCTGCAAACATCAAACTACAAAAAACTATTAATATTTAGCTGGCTCAGAAGGCAAAACTTCATAGATTTATACAAAAACCTGTACTCAACAAAAGAAGCATACATATGGTCAAATTAGAAGACAACTACAAGAATAGATTATATCTGACTATTAGAAATACTTGCATCAGGTCTACAGAAAGCTAATATCAAAAAAGCAAAAGGTCTGACAGATAGTGATCATAAAATAATAACAACAGAAATATGAGTAGAACACATAATCACAAACTGCAGTAAGGCAAAGATTAAACAAAAAGACCAAACAAGAACAATATACCTATATGAAAAAGCAAAACAAGAAGATTAAGAAGAGTATGCAAGAGAGCTACAAAATTAGCTAAAATAGAAAAGAGTATTAAAACAACTAGAAGATGATAATATAATAATAGAATATAGTACAGGAATATTGAATTAAATGTAGAATGCAATAGAAAAAGCTATAATTGAAGTAGCAAATAAGCAAATCCCAAAAAAAAATTTTTAATACTAATTTAAATAGAAGACAAAAACCTGTGGATTGATAGCGAAGTGGTTACACTTCCAGGTTACCAATTGCAAGGTTGCCAGTTCAAGTCCAACAGAAGACGAAAAACTGTGTTAGGACTATGATTGTTAATTAATCACAGCAGATAATGCACTATGAAAATAGGAAGATCTTTGGTATCCAGATCTTTAAATAGTGACAGATCTTACATAAGAAGGCTGCAATGATTAGAGAGCTGAGGATAATAATAGAACAAAGGAATCCCTGATTAGAAATAGTCCTAGTAAAATTCCAGAGTAATAGGAACACAAAATTAGTATATAGATAGTACTGTAAAATGTATATAAATAAAAATGTAAAATGTAGATGGGGTTCTGATAGAAGGTCCTGTGAACTTGAAAATTTTGAACTAATAAAATAGCTGCCAACTGCAGCCCACTAGCGACCAGGCAGTGGGAATTCAAAAAAAAAAATAGAAGATAAAACTAAAAAAAGATAACAAAACACAAATACATTATCGAACTTCAGCAAATAATCAAGAAAACAAAAAGTAAGAAGAATCAAAAGGTGAAAAAGAATAAAGAAATTGAAATAAATAACAAACTCCAAATTATAAAAAAAGAACTAAAAGCAACATTGCCAAAACTATACAGACAATGGTCAAAAGCCTGAATAGATGATATAAAAGATTGGCAAAGAATAGTTAAGAAGAAAAGAAGAGAGAAATGAGAATGAGTATAAAAAAAACAAATAGAAGAAAACATAAATAAAAGATGTAAAATAATCAGAACAGATCAAGGTCAAATGATTGCCAGCCTACTAAATAAACTATACAAAAAGATTGATCTAAACAGATTTATAATGCAAGTCAAAGAAGAAGTCAACCTAATATTAGAACCAGACACAGTCCTAAATAAGTTGGCAGCTTATTTTAAAAACCAGTTTAGAAAATGAAAAACTAAACTTGAAGAAATGACAGAAGAATGGAAAAAAGTAACCCAAAAGATTGGATTGATGAGACCTAGTATAGAAAATTAAAAGAAAGAATAAAAGAAAAAGAATAGAAAGAAATACTTAGAGAGCTTAAAGTAAATACAGCCTCAAAAATATTAGACATAAGCTACATATTAATAAAACATACAGAGAAGAGATCACAAAAGATTTTCAGAGGCTTTGCAAATTTGATTTTAGAAAAAGAAGACATACCAAAGAAGTGAAAAGTTGCACAAATATATCTAATACTGAAAGATGTAGACTGAGGTTACTGCTTAAACAATATTAGACCAATAGCATTAATAGAGATATTTAGAAAAGTTGTTACAAAAGTAGTAACAAGAAGATTAGCCAAAGTATTTACAGAAAGAAACATACTCAAAAGACCAAACTTTGCAGGCCTGCCAGGTAATTCAACAGAGCAGCCAATACATATACTAAACATGATAATAGAGTAGGCCCAAGAAAAGAATAAGGTAAAAAAAGCATTTAACTTAGTTCTATTAAAAAGCCTAGACTGAGCCTTAAAAAAAGTCAAAATTTTACAAAAAATAAGAAAATATATAAGCAATCTGTTTTGTAAATAAAAACTCAAAATTATTACAGCCTATGGTCTAACAGAAGAAATAATAGCAGAAGATGGAATAGACCAAGGTGAGGTAATCTCACTATTAATTTGATGTTTTTTCTATAACTTATTATTGAAAAGAATACAAGAAGATGAAACACTAGGCTATAAAGTAAAACAAAAAGTAACAGAAAGAG